CCAACTGGCAGCATCAGGATGGATGGTGAAGAGACTGAGATTATACACAGCTTTAGTTTGCTTGGCTCCACAGTCAACAGTTTTGGCACCAGCAGCCAGGAAATTAAAAGGCGCATTGCCATGGGAAAGTCTGCTGTTAGGGACCTCTCCAAAGTGCTGAAGAGCAATGGTGTCTCTCTGGAGACTAAGGTGCGTCTGATACAGGCTATGGTCTTTGCAATCACTTGTTATGCATCAGAGAGTTGGACAATGACCAAGGAGGATAGAAGGAGAATTGATGCCTTTGAGCTGTGGTGCTGGAGAAGAGTATTGAGAATACCATGGACAGCTAGGAAAACAAACAGATTTGTCCTGGAAAGGGTTAAACCGGGTGGCTCCTTGGAGGCAAGGATTCTGAGGCTCCGTCTAACATACTTTGGACATGCTGTGAGGAGAGACCGGTCCTTGGAGAGGGACATCATGCTTGGGAGGGTGGAGGGACAGCGCAGGAGAGGAAGGCCCTCTATGAGGTGGATTGATTCAGTGATTGGGATAATTGGGATGGGAGTGTCAGAGACAGTGTGATTGGCACAGGACAGAGAGGAGTTTAGGGCTGTTGTACATAGGGTCCCTATGAGTCGCAAACGACTCGACGGCACATAACAACAACAACAAATGACACTATGGAATGTTCTCTAACTCATGGAAGGAGGCAAACAAAATAAGAACAAATGTGCACACACGGTGTACATTCAATCAAGGAGACCACCACCACACATCCCACTGTGAGTCAGACTAGGTGTTAAAGTCAGTCCTGACCAGGGAAGATCTCTGGCTCTTGGAGTCAAGTCTCTCCATCTGTGGAATAAGCTAATTGAACCATCTGGCCTCTGGCTTTCCATGATCATGCCTGCTCCAGACTCCCCTTAGTTCTCTCATTTCCAAACCATGTCCCACTTCATTTCATCCAGGTGCAGGACTGGAAGGAGCTGGAAGAGGAATGGAAGGAACAGCTGGTAGCCCTTCAGCAGCCCAGCACCCAGCCCAGGATCCCAAGGGTTAAGATCCAGAGCAAGGGCTGGGGGGCTGGGGTCAAGGCTGGACAGACCAGAAGGCCTGGAGCTCAGGCCTTGCCTCCCCTCCCCCAATCCTGGGAACAGAAGCCACTTGTTTGGGCTGTGGCAGCCTGGCTTTGAGCTCCCTTGGCCAAAGGAACTGTGGGGTGGGGAGGAGGGCCCTGTAGAGTGGAGGGGACTTCCCTCCTGCCAGTCAGTTCCCTACGCTTGATCCACCACCAGGTCCCAAAATTCTCACAAACCTTTCACTCCTCTTTCTTTGACCCCTTTCTTTTCCTTTATTTAAACACTCACCACTGGGAGGATTTAGATTAAGATAGGCCCAATTCTTACTCCAGTATGGCCTCTCTTTAGGCACTGGGCCATAGCTTATGCCCCTATCCCACAGATGGAGAAATGGAGGCTCTGGTAAGTTTGGAAACTTGCAGATTAAGAGTGGTTGGTGGCTGCATGGAGATTCCTGGTACCAAGACACAGTGGCTCTTTATGGGCACCATCCTCACAGAACTCCAAAAAGACTCTTTCTAAGCTGTGACACTACTCAGAATTGAAAAGTTGGACAGGCAGGAGGGGTATTAAATGGAGGGAGAAAGATACATAAAAAAAAACCAACCAAGGGTTGACACGTGACATGTGAAAAAGCATATTTATTGGCAGTAAGAGCCACATGGGGGGGGTGTGTGTGAATTCTGGGAACAAAAGGAGTGCTTGAATGAAACCTGGGGACACCCTTAGCCCCTGGTGGCCTCAGCCTACCTTCACTTCACCATCCTCAGGGCTCTTCTTGGACAATCTCATCTCTCAGCCTAAGCCAGTGAGTAAGTGGGGATGCTGATCCTCAGGCTCAAGAATGGACAATTCCTAATGAGCCAAAGGACATGGAGATGAGCTGCCTACAGTGACTACTCCTCCTACCCACACCCATCTTCTTGCCATTTCTCTGACACACCACACAGTCCTGCTAAAGCACAACCTATGCTCTCCACTGGATCTTGTCACTTAACTATCAAGGTCACCGCTTCCTGGGCATTCCTAGAGTTCTAGCATCTGACACCATCTCTACACCACTATCTTCATGGCTCTACTAGAAGTCTCACCAGCAATGAGTCTGACAGATGTTTTCCCTCACTCTGAAAGTTCTCAGAGGACAGTCATCCTGCGTGTCTCAGTCCCCAGTTTACTGTGTACGTTTCCCTGAGTGTCATCACCTACCTAACCTGGAGGTCAGGCGGGGGTGGCGAGTGAATGCATATGGTGGTTGGAGTTCCACAGGCACAAAAACTATCCTTCAGGTTTGGGACCAAACAGTCACACACATACTCTAGGCTACACACTATGCCGGCAATTTCCAGTCCCAATCACTCACTCCCAGCCTGACCCCATTCCGTGAACACTGATCTCTATTTTCCAGCAAGTGGGCCAGTCAGAAGCTCCTGGGAAACCATGTCCCCATTAACTGAGGCACTGAGACCGGAAGTCGCTTACCCAAGGTCACTGGAGCCCCAGGTCCACAGCACACGGATCTTATGACTCTATAGAACTCTAGGGTCATTGAGGCCAGCGCCTTCACTTCACAGGTGGGAAAAGCAAGGGTCCCCCCAGGGCAGGCGGTCTCTGGATGCTGGGAGCCTTCGTTTCAAAAAGCAGCGCATTTGGAAGACCCCACCACGGCAGTTTGCCCTCCTCCCCACGGCCTCTGGCCCGATCACGCATCCTCAGGAAGAGAGCTCCCACAACCACCACCTGGCAGGTGAACCGACAAGGTGACCCCGAAAAGAGCGCCCGCGGAAGTGGTCGCCAGGTGGAGTCGCCGCGCGGCCTCAGTGTTTCCTTCTGCGGAATGGGGAAAGTCCGGGCCACACCTGGTGAGAGGGTAGCAGAGAGGCCCCCGGCAGCCGCACTGACCTGTTCCGAGCGAAGACTCCGCGCGGAAACCCGGGAAGCCAGCACCACCAGTGACTCAAGCAGGCGCCGCCAACTCGCGGACGGGCGACAGGCTGGGCCAGGCGCGCCCACCCCGCGGGGCTCTTCCGCCCGCCGCACGTGACGCCCGGGAGGGGGCGGGGCCCGATCGGGACACGCCCCTTCCAGGCCCCGCCCTGGCGGAGTCCCTGGTCAGCGCGCTCTCTTCGCTACCCTGAGTCACCTTAATCACTGACGCTGTTCGCCAGTCGGTCCCAGATTCCGCAGGCTCACAACTAACCCACCACTCCCTCCTTCGCCCTAAGTCTTATGCCTGTCGATACCCCTTCTCCTGGAAAGTCAGTCCCCTGAGATACGTGTGAGCAACAAGCCTCCCCCTCCTCCTGCCTGCACAGGGGTCCGACTTGGCTGAGGCTGGTGCCGCTGTTGGAGGCTAGATGATCGTGGCCGCTGATCTCCAACTCTTCCTTCCCACCAAGATTCTACCTCTCTCCTTGGGCCCCCAATCCCTCGTAACCTGTGGTGAAGAGTCTTACCCGTCACCTCGCCCAAGGACCCCTTGGATAAATGTGCAGTTTTTGTGTGTCTGTCCTTCGAACATACACATGGATGAGGGCCAGAAGCTCGATAGGCTAAACTCTCCATCTAGGTAGGGCATCTCTGGTGCTAATCAAAACACAGACAGTAACTTCTTAGGGTATCTGTTTCTCTATATGTCCAATAGGGATATTCAGGGAAAAGGTATCATTAGAATGAGGTAGAGAATTAGCTCAAAAGGAGAAAAGACTCATTAACTTGAGCACCTATTTCATGTCAGGGTCAGTACTGAGCCATTTATTCCTTTTATAAGCTTGAAGACAAATATTATCCTAGTTTAAGGATTCCGACCCTGGGGCTCCAAGAGGTTACAAGACTTGCCCAAAGTTAGGAAGCCAGTAAGGTGCAAATCTAAAATTAGAATCCAAGTCTTGATGAGTTGCAAAATCTTGCTCATCCCCATTGGCTGTTTGCTCCTCTGAGAGTCAACTCATTATAAAATAGTAACTTCTGGAGGAGAGACTTCCAGAGAGGTGAGGACTGAGCCAGACGTTGAGTGGAACTTCCCTGCGGCTAGTTCAGATGAAGAGCAGAACACTGACAGAAGGGAAGGCACGGACCTTCCTCTAGACCTGACAGAGGAGTATCCCTTAGGCAGCAGAGGGCGCCTGGAAGCCACGGAGGACCCAGCATCGCTAAGACCTCAAGGCAGCTGGGCAGAGCACTGACCAAGGGTTAAGAGTCCCACTTGTGTTGGGACGAACCTGAAGCCTTCAAAAGGGAACTCTGGTGGCCTCACTGCTAACTCAAAGCCTCCGCTCTCTGGCCATTTTAATCCACCAGCAGCTGTTTAGGAGAAAGCTAGGCATTCTCCTCTCATCTAATTTATAGCCTCAGAAACCAATGGAGTCTCAGCTGCAAATAAGTTCTGAATAGATAGCAATGAATTTTGAGCTTTGAGACTTCAAGGCTCACAGGACTTGATTCCAAGGAGATTAATGGCACTGAGCTGCCCAGCATTTCTCTTCCAGAACAGAGGCTGCCTCAACATCCCCTCTGAGCCCTGTGAACCGAGATCTTTCCCCTCCCTTCTGTGATGATGAGCGAGCATCAGGCCCACAGTCCAAAGCACTGAGCCAGAGATCACATATTACAGCCCTGTACTCCTTATCTTAGAACAGTAAAGATAACCAAATAGCTTGTGGTCAGTGGCAAAATGAGCATGCCACAAGGACAGGTAGGTGGAGAGGGCTGAAAAGTAAACTAATGAACAGACACAGAGAGAAAGGAAGGGACAAAAAACGGCCAGGTGCAGGGGGTGACAACCCCTCAAGCTACACACTTGGAAATGAGTGGGTGCTAAAAGGAGCAAAGACCAGGTGAGCATCAATAAAATCAACAAAATTAACTGTGGGTGGTAGGGTTTAGGGCTGTGGTGGTGCCTCAGGCAGGTGAGAAGCAGGCGGCGCAGTGATGAGCCAGCAAAGGCTGTGGGATCATTTATTGGGGCTGTGTCCAGGACGGCCGCTCTGCACGCCTGGGTCTGAGCCCCATGCCCCCAAGAAGTGTGGGGAGGGGGATGAGGAGGGTGCTGGAGGATGTGCCCATGCCCCAGCTCGCCCACAGGTCCTTTCTGGGTCCCTGCCGTGGTGCTATGCTCAGGTGAGCGAGGTGTCGTCGTCGCTGCCCTCGCCTCCTGCGCCGCCAGTGCGCTCTTCCCGGCTCTCCGACACGGCGCTTTCGTCGATGTTCTCCAGTGAGTCCGCGTGCTGCACTGAGAGCTCCGACAGCGCCAGGCTGGGCAACGGGCTCTGCTCTGGGTGCAGCCAGGGTTTGAAGTGTGGCTGGTGCTTCTGTTTCCACTCAGGGTACTTGACGCACGCTTTATACATTTTCTTCATAGCCTGCGGGACCACAGCCCCACCAGTTAGTGATGGCTTAAGTCTTCTCTCCAACCCACCTCCCTTGGCCTGCAGGGGTCCAGCCCACAGCCTCCTAATGCCGAAATTTCTTAACTCCACCCTTCACCTTTAACCCCGCCCCCACCCTGATTCCCAGGCCTCGCTCCTGACTCCAAGCTTTGGTCTTTTAGCCTCCAGGAAGTTTCAATACTGCTCACCTTAGGCGCCAGGAACTGAGAAGATTTATTCACCACCCACTTGGGTAAAGAGCCTGTGAGGGCAGGAAAGGGTGGTGGAGAGACAAAGGGAGAAGCAGACTCAGGAACCCAGATTCCACTCATCACATACAGCTGCCCCCTCCTTGCAGACTGTGGTCTCCCCCTTCTCCTGGGGAGGGGCCATATATGAGCAGGCCTTCTTCAGCTTCACTCTTTCTACCTCAGACTAAGGGTCCCGGGGTCAGCCTCATCCTCATCCCCTGCTAAGTCCCAGAAAGCTTCAAGGAAGGATCCTAAGTGGCCACAGTCTGTGTGTGAGTTGAAATCCGTAGAGCTCTAGCCTGTCACCTCCCTCCCCTCGCACTGACATCCCTTCACACTGACAATACTTTCCCAAAGCTCAGTTCCTCTTCTGCCTATCTGTCCTTCCAAGCACTTTTCCCTAGAAAGCCTCCAGGCCTACACTGCTCTCCAACCTATTTCCAATTGTCTGCTTTGTCTTTGAAATGTAACCTACTCAACACTGCTCCAGGGAGGGACACCCAGGCCTGAATCCCTTCCACCCTGCAAGGGCCAGGGCATATAGGGGCAAAGATGCTCAAGGCATACCCATCTTGTAGTCATTCATTCACTCATTCACTCCACAGCCACTCAGTAACACCAATCCTGGGCCAGCTCTGGGGACTGAGAGGAACTCAGCAGAGATCCATCAGAAGCAAGGAGCCACTGATTCCACTGAGGGATCAGGTGGAGAGGAGCCACTGATTCCACTGAGGGATCAGGTGGAGAGAGATGACATCTCAAACAGATCCAGAGGGATGAGTAAGTTTGCCTGGAGGAAAAGGTTGGAGAGGTGCTCCTAGGTTTAAGGAAAGGGGCAACTTGACAGGAAGATGGGAAAGTCTTAGGTATGAGGAGGGATAGGGGACTTGATTCTGAGGGCAATAGGGAGTCACCAGAAGAATTTTTAAGCAGAGTCAAGTCATGAGCAGACAACTGCTTTTGAAAACTTTCTCTTGTGACTGGTATAGACAGAAAAGGTAGCCATGACTGTATAGAGAACAGATTCAGAAGATATTCAGGAAGGTAGAATCAGTAAGAATTGATGCCTGGATTTGGAAGCTGAGGCAGGAGGAGGAACCACAGATGACTTCCAGGCCCTTGGCATGGGTGAGTCATGAGGAGGAGGGGCAGGTTAGTGAAGAAGCACTCAGTCTAAGTGCCTAGAAGCCATTCTGAGGGAAGTCCAGAAAGCTGATGGCCACAGGGCTATGGACCTCAAGAGAGAGACACTGGGGTCATCTCACCACCAAAGTCATGGGAACAGCTTAGCCCTCCCAAGGAAGCAAGAACTGAGGCCTGGAAAACCTCAGATCTCTAGGATGGGCCGAGGATAGTACCCAGCAAAGCAGATAGGGTGAGAGCAGCCAGGAAGCAGAGAGTAGCTCAGAGCATGGGATGTGGGGCCAGGAAAAGAGAGGGTATCGAGCTTTCTCAGTGGAGTCATGCCCACCAGTTGGTCCATGCTTTTCAAACTTTAGTTCAAATGATGTTTATAATGGAGATGCCCCAAGACACAAAAAAGCCCTTAGCAGATGCCCTTCTGGATCCCTAATGGATTGAGTCCCATCCCCTGTTATACAGGGATGGATCCCACAATAGGTTTCCAGGGCTAAGCCCTCACCTTTGGGGTCTACCTGAGCCAGGTAGGTGATGACGCAGCTCTTGGGCCCCGTGCTCTGGATGAGGTAGCCCGTCTGGATGGACACAGCTCGGACCAAGTCTTTCCGAGGCGGGTATTTCTAGGGATGGAAGGCACAGGGAGGTGAGACTTGGGGTGGGGGCAGAAGTGGTGTATTTTTGAACACACACCACACCCGTATGCGCACACATGCACACACACTCCCCACTGGTTAGCTCTTATCTTTTATCCCCTTTAATCTTTATGAGGACAGACCTAATGCTGGTGTGAGGGGTAGGTCACATTTGCACCTTGAAGTCTTTCTTCATTCCTCTCAGGGAAGGGGTAGGTCACATTTGCACCTTGAAGTCTTTCTTCATTCCTCTCAGGGAAGCCTCCATCGGGGGTCAGACCTCATAGTCATGAACACTCAGACACTCACTCTTGCCTAGGCCAGCTGTACCTGCCTGTGAGTCCTGCGCATGGAGACCAAGGGCCCAGCCTCATGGAGAGCCAGAGGACCCGCCTCTCACCTCTTGTTCTCCTTTCCTGGCTAAGCCTTCCCCAGAGCATAGCTTACCAAAATGGGTCCATCCTACCCCTTTGCCCACAGTGAGAGCTCACACTACCCTCTCCTGACCTATCTAAGAACTCCAGTAGAGAATGGGAGCCATACCTTCATGGTACAGCAGGGAAATTGAGGCGCAGAGGAGCCCATACCTGGCCCTGAGTTATAGGGAAGTCATGGTTGAAGCCATGGGCCTCCCGCTAGGCTGTGCTGGCACAGCTCTCACACCTTCCCCTGGCACCCAAATGGAGAGGGCAGGCCAACTCACAGGATGTTTGACTGAGTAGTTCATAATGATGTAATCAGCACCCATGGGGAGCCAGGAGCGGAGGGTGATGACATCACGGTTCTTCAGGGGCTTTGGACACCTCCCTGTGGAGTGTAAGGGACAGTGTCAGCCAGACCACTGGCCCAGTTGCTTAAAAGGCACTCGAGAGTGCAAAGGTCTGACAGGGGACCGGAGGACAGACAGGGAGAGAAAAGATGTGAAGGAGGACAGACAGAAGCTAGAGATATGAAGATACCTAGTTAACTGCCAGGGTCCCCTCTACCTGATTTAAACAGACATCTCCATCCATCAGACCGCAGTCTCAGAGCTGGAACTAGGGAATAGGAAACCTCTTCCACATTGTCTCTAGCCTGTTGAGGTTTTTTTTTTTTTTTCTTCCCCCCTTTCACCTCTACTCTTAACAACCTCACACAGCCCCTCCCTGGTTGGACTGTTTGTATATAGGCATGTGAGTGTACGAGAGGACCGCGGTATTACTATGTGTGCACATGATTGTGGGTAGGCATGTGCAAAATGTGTTTTTATGTGAATGAATGTATGTGAGTATACAAGTGAATGTGTTCAAGTGTTTGTCAGTGTACAAGGAGATCATGGAAGATTATGGAGCTCTCCCTGGGGGAAACCCTCCCCAGGACAACCCTACACCCCAGCATTCAGGACCCTGAGCAGTGTGACCACAAGGAGGAGAGGTGGAAGGAGGCAGCTCAGCATGAGGCCCGGGGATCAGCATGCTGTGCTTGCTCACAAGAGTAATAGCCCACGTCTGCGTTGACCGTCAAGCGGGCGATGTCAAAGGTCTCAATGACGTTGCTGTCCCACTTCTTTCGGTACTCGATGTCATGTAAAACGTCGTATAGTGTCTCAGCTGGCACATCACGGCACTCCATCCGGCACTGCAGACAGACATATGGGTTTCCAGAGTCACAAAAAACTCAGAAACAAGGTATGTGGGAGTGTCCCCAGTCCTGGGCAGGGAACCAGAGGGCAGACAGGCAGTCAGCAGAGCGGGAGGAGGAGGAGCAAGGACCTCTGAAGCCAAGATCGACCCACCTCTTTCCACAGACCTGTATAACCCCTACCAGAAGCCCCCATGTCCAATGACAAGCCTTGTGTCTGGAAACCATCTTCCACCCTCAGTTCCTTCCAGCCATCCACACCTATTCTTCCCAGTATCCTTCTCTAGGAAATCTTCCTGAAGCACCCTGCCTGCTTCCTGGGCTTCCATATACCAAGTCCCTCAATCTGTACTTCCTTCCCAGACTGAAAATTCCTCATAGGCAGAGGCTCATGGCCAATGTAACAGAGAGCCTAGCATGAACTAAAATAAATGAAATAAATGCATGAAAGAACAAGGAATGTGCCAAGGAAAGCTTCAGTGGAGTCTTTCCTCCTAGTGCTCTTCTTTTTATTTCTTTTTCCACTCAACAAATATCTTTACATTTTCACTATTTATTAGTCTTACCCTCAAAGAGCTTTCTGTCTAGGAGAGAAAACAGTAGAGCATACCTTGTTTTATTTGATCCTTATAACTCTGCCAGACAAAAAAATCCAAGGAAGAACTGGTAGATCAGAGAGTAACTTGTCCCAGGTTACTCAGTAAATTATGTAAGTAGCAGAGCTGAGATTTAATTCTGATCACAGGTCTGCAAAGCAAGTGAAAAGAGCCCAGGCTTCCCTAGATTTGCATTCAGCAAGATGAAACTCAACTCAATTAAGTGTCCTTGTTCTGTGATTTTACTTACACACACACACACACACACACAGCAGCCTAACTCCCATGACCAAGTTCCCTTGGGCAAATAGACAAGGTTTTTGGTTTAAAAAGGTCTCTCAGAACTGGGCTTTTATAGGATGCCAATAGACCGCAAACACATTACTTTTTATTTACAAGGTGATACACACTATGGAGCATCCCATTGCTTTCCCTTATCCCAGGTTTAGGGAGCTCTGCTGGCCTAGTGGGAAAGAAGCCGTGCTGCCAACCCAAAAGCACATGGTTCAAATCCAACCAATCTCCAAGAAAGAAAAATGGTCAATTTCTTCTCATGCAGTTTATAGCTTCTGAAAACCCACTGGAGAGTCAGCTATGAGTCGGTTCCTATTTCATAGTAGTGAGTTGAATTTTTGTGTTGAATCCAAAAGTAGGTCTTGGAAGCACTAATGTTGCCACAAGAAGCACACACCAGCATTCATTGGGCCTTACAGGTACCACTGGACTCGGCGAGTCTTATACATAACTTTAGTTTCCAGCACACCCAGAGAACAGAAGGACAAGCTCAGTGACACTATGAAAAGAAAACCAGATAGTGAGGCATTCTGCAGGCCTAAAAGCTCATTTCTTCATTGAACCAAAAATAGAAAAGAAACTGAGAGACTTACAAGATACAACAACCAGAAAGTAAAGCATGGTCCAGGATTTGAAATGGTTTGGACATACCAACTAGAAGGGATATCTTGAGGATAGCTGGAAAAACACAAATATAGTTTGAGTATTAGTCTATCCTATCCAAATTAAAAAACCATCTCAGGAACAGATTTGAGGCTTTGAACACTAATGAGTGAAAGCCACTTGAGCTATGGGAGGATATCAAGAATATTATCCATGAAGAATGCAAAAGGTCATCACAAAGACAGAGCATTAGAAAAGACCAAGATGGATGTTGGAAGAGACTGTAAATATTGCACTAGAGCACTGAGAAACCAAAGCAAAGGGAAGAAATCAAGATGTTAAGGAGCTGAACAGTTTTCAAAAGGCAGCACTGGAAGACAAAGAAAAGTATTAGAATGAAAAGTGCAAAGAGCTAGAGCCAGAAAATCAAAACGGTCGAATAAGCTCAGAATTTCTTAAACTGAAGAAACAAAAGAACAAATTCAAGCCTCGAGTTGTAATACTTAAGGATGCTGTGGGCAAAGTAATGAATGATCCAGGAAGCATCAAGAGAAGATGAAAGAAGTACATAGTCACTATACCAAAAAGAACTGACTGACACAGAAGTATTTCATGGAACAACTTATGTTCAAAAAGGCAATGGTGATGAAGGAGGAAGTTCAAGTTGCTCTGAAGGAATTGGCAAAAATCAGGCCCCAGGAATTCATGGAATAGCAACTGTCATATTTCAACAAAAAGATGCAGCTCTGGAAGTGCTCACCACGCTGTGCCAAGAAATCTAAAGAGCAGCTACCTGGCCAACCAACTAGAAGAGATCCATGTTTATTCCCATTCAAAAAAAAGGGGATCCAACAGAGTGTGAAAATTGTTGAACAATATAACTAATATCAGACAAGCAAAATCCTACTGAAGATTATCCAAAAGTTTGACAGAGAACTACAAGAAATAAAAGCTGGGTTTAGAGGAGGCCATGGCATTAGAGACATCACTGCCAATGTCAGATGAACCTTGGCAGAAAGCAAGAGAGTACCAGAGGAATGTTTATCTGTGTTTCATTGACTAATCAAAGGAATTTTACTGTATGGATCACAATAAATTGTGGTTAACCTTGAGAAGAATGGGAATCCCATAACACCTGATTGTGCTGATGCAGAATCTATACTTGGATCAGGAGGTAGTCATCAGAAAAGAGCAAGGAAAACGCTGCATGGTTCAAAATCAGAAAAGGAGTACATCAGGGATGTGTCCTGTCTCCTCACCTTTTCAATCTGTATGCAGATTAGATAATTTGAGAGGCTGGACTTTGTGAGGAAGAATATGGCATCAGGGTTAGAGGAAGACTCATCAACAACCTGCATTATGCAGATGACACAACCATATTTGTTTTAACTGAGGAGGGCCTAAAGCATCTGCTGCAGAGGGTCAAGGACTAGAGTTTGCAATATGGATTGAAGGTCAACATCAAGAAAACAGATTCTCACCAAGGTACCAATTGGCAGCATCGTGAAGGATGGAAAACAGATTAAGATTATTAACAATTTCAGCATGCTTGGCTCCACAATCAAAAAACAAAGTGCACTATGGAAATCTGCTGTCAAGGACTTCTCCAGAGTAATGAAGAGCAAGGATGTCATAAGGTACACCTGATCCAGGTCATGGTCTTTGTAATTATTTGCTGTGCATCAGAGAGCTAGACAGTGACCAAAGATAACAGAAGAAGAATTGATGCCTTTGAGGTGTGGTCTTGGAAAGGAATTTTGAACATACCCTGGACCACCAAGAGAACTAACAGATCTGTCCCGGAGAGGGTGAAATCAAGCTGCTTTTTGGAGGCAAGGAGTTTGAGATTCTGTCTCACATACTTTGGGCACGTAGCCAGGAGGGACTGGTCTTTGGAGATGGATATCATGGTTGGAAGGGACAAGGGACAGCACAGGAGAGGAATACCCCAGATGAGATGGATTGACACAATAACTGAGGTAATAAGGGTAGGTGTGTCAGAGACAGTGAGATTGGCTCAGTATAGAGCAGGGTTTAGAGCTATTGTGCATAGGGTCGCTATGAGTCGTAGTTAACTCAATGGCACATAAAAACAATATATTAGATGCACTAAAAATTTACTAAAATAAAATGATGGGGATTGTTGCCCAAAACGAAGCACATTGAAAATGGAATGTAGAGGTGGGAGGGAGGGGTGGGCAGGGAGAATAGTGCAATAATGAATGAATGGAAATCCTCAGTCTCTGTAAACTTTCATTAAAATTAATAATAATAAAAGAAATTTAAAAAATGGAATGTAGAGTATAATCTCATTTAGGGAAATTATACTGCAAATGCACAGAAAGAAATAAGGAAAGAAAATCACTAATGTGTCAGCAATGGCAATCTCCAAATGATAAGAATTTAACAGTTTTGTTTTTACTAGTCTGTTTTTCTAATTTTCTAGTGTACAATACTGCTTCTTCAATAATGAAAAAAAACTGAAATAGAAATGTCCCTCTGAGATACTGTGAGCTGCACTCACCATGTGCCAGGCACTGTACTAAGTGCTATATCCACATTTCAGTTTATTCTTCCAGCAAGACTCTGAGGTATTAGCCTGATTTCAGAATTAAAGAAATTCAAGTTCAAAGAGAGCCTTGAGCATTCAGAGAATCACTGTGTAACCCTGAACAAATCATCCTCCTTCTCTCCTCCTATTTGCTCTTAAGCTCTAAGACAGGATGTGACTCAATCTCATCATTAACCCCACCTCTACTCTCATCTCCAACCCTGTGCTGAGTACAGAAGAATCAGAGGTGAATTTGAGCTTTCCTTGAGAAGTGCCCAGAAGAGACACCAACTTGGAAATGGGGCAGTACCCTAAACTGTCCAGTGAGGGGCACTAAGGAGTCAATTCTGTGTAGTGGGTGAATGATCAGGTTTCAGGATGATGGTTAGTCCAGAAGACTGGTGTTTGCCAAGTTACCCTGACATCAGTAAGGGCAAAGGAGATGAGCATGGCTTGTCGAGGGAAAAGGGGAATGAGTCCTGTCTGGTTGGAATGTCCATGCTGTAGTATAGCTTAATATGCATACTCTTCACTAACTATCTTGCTAGTTAATACTGCCTGTTTACAAGAAAGCATCTCCTGCTCAATTATTTTTCACACTAACAATGTATATCTGGTAGTTAAGTGCACTGAGGTACAAAGTGAGAGTAATGTTGGTGGTGATGGGTAAGTTAATGTGTCAGCTTGTTTGGGACATGACTCTGAGTGGTTTAGCAGTCCTGTAATGATAGACAGCCGTGTATGAATGTACTCATCCTTCATTTGTGATCATTTGTGATTGAGGTAGCCATCTTCCATTCTGATATAATGCCAATTTTCACTTAACAACCTAGTCTTTGAAACTTAACTATATTGATAAGTAAGGAAAGGGTATGTTGAAAAGCTCCCTCATTTTACATATTTTGAGGGAAATAGTTCATTCCACGGCTGAGTCAAAATATAAGATCAGCTTT